CCGGCGGGGCCCGAATTTTTAACTTGTGTTGGGCAAGGCCGTGGCCTAGGCAACACGGAGTTTTCCTCATTGGCATCCCAACAATTACTCCATTCACACACAGAAGAAGGCAATGGCAAACCACTTCTGGATCATCTGCCAAGAACGTATATGAACAGGTCCCAGTCCGACAAAAGGATGGAAGGATCCTGTTCATATGGACCTGTCGTCAGACAGAACACTGAATAAATAAAATAATAAAATAGTCAAAGTCGTTATTCTTTCACGAAATTAAATCTGTTATTTACTTGTAACATGAAGTCGAACGTCAACGAGTTATAAAAACTTTAAAGCAGGCATCCTCTAAATGTTTTACTGTGTAAATAGGCTAATAGGAACCATAAATCAAGAAATATTTAATAATAATTTTTTTGTATATAATTTGTGCTAACATATTTTCATAGGGGATATCACATTTCATCTCAGAGTTTTGTATTGCTGCCATATTTATAATTATTTCAAGGTAAAAATGTTTATACAGAATTTTAGGTAGTCTTATGTTTGTGATCTATCATCTTACAAAATATCATCATCATTATCATCAGTCTAGAAGACAAATATGGACTAATTTCACACGTCCATCGTGCTGTTTTATTTTATGAAACGTTATTTTCAAGTTCAGATATTTTTCGACTATTTTTTCTGCAAACACAATTTCTGGTTCTGTATTAAGAGCCACTATTGTCACTTCCATCTCAGACACTGCCGTGGTTACCAGGTTGACTCTATTTTAAATAAGAGACTGAGCACTATAAATATTGAATAACCTCCAGTGGCTTGATATACATTCAGAGTTTTATGTAAATTTGTTAGTTTCTTAAAAGTTATCAGAAGAGAGACAATTACGTAGACCTATCTTAAACCCACCTTCCATTATTAAATAAATGAATTAATCAAAAATGTTTTGGAAGACATTTGTATAATATAAAAAAAGTAAATATGTTTTGGTGCACATTGTATCTGATAGGACGTGTCTTTTTCCTGACATTTCGATAATTTTAGCCTTTGTCCGTATAACCTACTGTGAAAATTACTGTTAGCCATGAAAACAACGGAATTAACGATGATAGGTTCAAATATTTATCCATTTTGGAAGAGATGTTTGGGGGAAAAAAAAGCTATTTACTAATCAACTCACATCTACTCGTAAATGATTATTAGTTACATAAAATAAGAAGCTAATTTATCGTAATGTAATGTTCTGCGTTGTTTTGTGTGATACAAACCTAATTGAAAAGTGAATTACGTAGAACTCGACGATGCATATTGAAACGTGTTTTACAAACTTTTGGGGACACATTTTGGTACACAGTGGACCTAATCACGCTTCTCTTTCTAAATTGCACATGTATGTTGTGACAAAAAAGCTATTAAAGTACAAAATAGATGTGTAATAAACTACAGGGGGTACAGTGTAGAAAACCGAATTTGTTAGCCCAAGTCAAATCCTTGCCTTCAACGCAGTTTTTTATGTTTCGAATGACTGTAGGACTTATTAAATTATGCACTTTGGATGCCAAGATGGTTAAGTGTTGACTCTTTTTAACTTGACCGCAGGGATATTTATGGTGGAACGTTACAAAGACGTGAAGAAATTCTTTGTTTTATTTGTGGCCTAGTGTCAGAAGATATTTCTACAGGTGTTGTAAACTGTATCAAAAAGTGAATAAATTCGGCTGTAAAATTAAAAAGAGGTGAGTAAATTCAGGCATTTGGGTATTCGTATTTAGATTTATATAAATTTGTTTTTTTAAAAGATTTAACTATGTAAACAGCTTAGTCGGCAACGTTTTCTCGTCATTTATTGTTTACAGAAAGTCAAAAAAGAAAGCATAATGGAGATGGGGTCGTGTTTTCTGTCCATCTGCTTGCAGGCATAAACTCCAAAATGACTCGAAGGATTTCGGTTTAATTTCGTAGTGGCAGTCTTCACTGATAGCTGTTGAGTAAATTTTGTTTTATTTTATTTTAGTTTGTGTCTGTACAATAAAACCTATACCCTACAGGAATTTAAGTTTATCATCTTTCTACTTCAAACAAATACACTTTACAAAATGGGTGTCTTATTATTGCCTTTAACTGCTAACCTTAACGCATTTCCATATAAGGAATATGAAATTAGATAGAGGACAACATAATTGTCTACATTACTGTATTAATCTTTTCTTTAGTTTTTATATAAAAAATAGTTTAGTAACCAGTTGTTGCATTGTTTAACGACTTATTTTAAACAGCGCAGATAACGCAGCGTTTAGGGGCAGATCGATTACGATAAGTTAAAAAAATTATGGAAAGAAGTGGTGGTGATTTTTTATTTTGCTATCCGGTATTTTGTCTTCAACTACTGAAGAAAACTACGTTAAACTTCATTCAGGACAGCCGGCCTCCGTATCAAGATTCAGGTACTAAGTTCTGCCGTATTTTATGACGTGGTATCAATTAGATGATTGTAGAGAAATTTATAGTCGTTTAACTGGTCAAGATAATATTGTTTTTATGGAACCCAAAGGTTCATTGCTGTATTTACAGATAAACAGTGGGCCGTAACCATTTTAGGTTTAATTTGGCGTATACTTTCAGGATATATTAAGACGAATTTTTATATTATGTGTTTATTTACATATATTTTGCGAGTGGTGTATTCCCTTGATAGTTATCTTGCATGTCTCGTCTCCCTCATGCGAATCACACGTCTCATCCATCCAATCCCATTTTATTTAGCATAAGGCGAATAATACAGATTGTGAAGCTTCTTATTATGTAATTTTCACCAACATTCTGTTATTCCCTCTTTCTTAAGTCCAATACTTTCTTCTTCTCTATTTTATTATTTAAACCTTCTCGGCTTGAAAGTAATGAAAGGAAGTTGGAAGCATTGGAAACAGCAGTAATGTTGGCTGTTCGGAGCCACTTGCTACACTGAAGACTGACTGCCCCCACCCCGTGTTTATAAACCCCCTCCGACAACTTTGTGTTCGGCTCTTTCCGTCGCCCTTTCGGTTAGCGTCGTCAATAAACCTTCCTCTGCGTCCCCTATTTTGCAGCGCCGGGACGCGAAGCGCCTCTACGCGCCGGGACGCGTTGTCAGAGTCGCGGCAGCCGTCTTCAAGGGAGGCTGTCCGTTTTGTACGCTACTCTGGCGTCCTGGCCGTGGGGTTGAATCACTTGCAAGCAGCAGTGCGCGTCCTGACACCCCCAGTTGCTCCCAGTGACACGTGTAAGGGACAGAATCACAGTGCGTTGTTGTTTGTTTCTTTGTTTGTTTTGATTTGCTGTTGATGTTGTTTGTTGTTACTTGGCGACTGACTGTGACCATTCTACTCTTCTCATATCGCAAATCTTATCTGTAAATGCACAAAGGACCATAGTGTCCAGACATCTCTCACTTTCATTTTCGTCTTACCTGGACACTAGACTTTGAACAAAAGAGAATTATGAGAGTCTAATTTTCTGCGGATATCTCAACATATGATATATTTTCCTAGTAGAGATCGTAAATGATGTACCGTTTTTACCAATCTATATATTCCAGAGTAATTTTATTATGATTTTGGATACCAGAGAGGTTGAAATTTATATTCTTGAACATTGAACATTTTGCAAGCTATGTACTGGAGAAACTGAAGTTGAACTGGCTACGGACCTTAAATATTGAACGCTTTGAGAACTGAATACATTGTCTCTGTTGGAAAAGAAGTTGAGTCATAGATCGTTTAAGAATTTCATAGGTGAAGGCTGCTCCTAGTAGAAGTGAACTTTAGACCGCGACAGAAAAGTATACGCTTTGAGAACTGAAGAAGTGACGTTGAACCGGCGACATAAAGTGGAACACTGAAGACGTAGTCCTAGGTAGAAGTGACGTTGAACCGGCGACGGACGAAGACGAAGAAGTGACAGACGAGTTCGCCGCGTGACGAAGAGTGCAGCTGAATGCCAGCAAGTCTGTTGCCGTATCTTCCGGTGACGCTCGGAGCAAGATCCCCGCCAGCTGGTGTCCCAATGTTAGCCATGTCAACACTGATGATGCCTGCTGCCACGATGACCACCATGACGAACCCGGGACCGATTCCCGTGGCGCAGGCAAAGTTCGCTGCCGGTGGCGGTGGGGTCGTTGGAGGACCCGTGGGAGAACGAACAGGGGGCGAACCCAACGGCAAACTTGCCCCACTGAACCATAACGCTGCCGGAAACAAGTCAGGTAAGATCAATGCATACGACAATCCCAGGGTTCTGTACTTCTAAGAGCAAAGGAGCCCAGTTGGGAACTGCTATTTTATGATCACTCGTTTTGACTTGTCTGCTTCATTTAATATTACTTTATCAAGCGTACATGTTATTTAAATGGCTTCGAACGGTAGAATTATCAAGAATAATGAGTTTCGAAAAACTGGCTACGTTAATTTTTTCGAATCTGTCTGGAGAGGCTGAGTAAAACTACAACAAATTTCGTTCAGGGTAAACTGTATTTTATTATGTATATCAGCAGTTTGGAAGTTGTGTTGAAACTTCAATTATGGTACAGCAAACAGTTTTTTCCCTTCCGTGGTTTGTGTAACGACATTTTATGAACTCTGTTTTTTATATTATGTCGAATGATGTGATTAATATTCCTTATTAACTAAGAATGATCCTGAAGGAGTCAGTGTAGCATTTTTAAACTGTTGTAACGACACTTATCTGGAATAGCTGAGGAAAATATCGTCAGAATAATCGATATTAGGTTCACTAAAACAATCAGAGATTCTTCGATGTGTAGTTCACTTCTGGGTATATAACCGACATGCACTGCATTACCTGGTCACAGCTGTCAACAAAATGTCATAATTAAAATTTAAATTAAATCTTAATTTAGATAAACTATAACGCATGCAGCGGTAACAGTGCCGAGGTTTAGTACAGGAAGAGAAGAATGAATCTTAGCATGGAGTATACTGAAATAAAATGAATACTTCAGGTTAGGATGATAGTATTTTCAGATGCGTTCCTTGCCCTCATTATTGTTGTTGTTGTTCCAGAGATGCCACTCTGAATAAAGTCAGAAATTATTTTTAACAGCACTGCAAGTTATATTATTTTCTCTTTGTTTGCTTGAATGCAAGCCGTGTCGATTACAGTCGCAGACTCAAGCCGCAGATGTTAAATAACATATCTGTGTCTTGTTGCGAAAAATATACCTATTTTATTTATTTATTTGTCTGTTTAGCTGTAAAAATCGCCTTTTAGAAGAAATTTCAACTTCAATTTGACCGTTGTTATATTAGGTTATATTAAACTGAGGTTATATTAAACTAATCCGAACAGAATTTATGCTCTGTAACTTCCAATGTAATGTGTGTACCAAAGCAAATTTAAATCCGTTTTATAGTTTCGTATGTGAAATGTGCGGTTGGAGAGGTGTGACATGTAGCCGTTACATGTTCGTCTTACCGTACGTATAGCAGGTAATAATAGCGATTTTCTAATCCGAACAGAATTTATGCTCTGTAACTTCCAATGTAATGTGTGTACCAAAGCAAATTTAAATCCGTTTTATAGTTTCGTATGTGAAATGTGCGGTTGGAGAGGTGTGACATGTAACCGTTACATGTTCGTCTTATCGCACGTATAGCAGGTAATAATAGCGATTTTATAGAAGAAGAAAAATGTTTTAATTTATTTAGTAGATCAAAAGGATTAATTAAAATGTAATATATCTGTGAGAAGTTTGTGATCTGATGGCTTAATGTTTTTATCGCTGTTCCCTTTTCCCGCAGAAATTTATAAAAAGTGAAAGGAGCAAACTGGCTTTCTGCGATGACATTGAACATATCATTCGTAATTCTGTGAGGGCTCTTCTTGGACATAACCCTTTGACAAAATTATGGTTGCAACATAAGTGTTTATGACGATACGAAGCGATAATTTATCGATATCAAATTATAAAGATCCTCATTATAATGCTGTCTATAATGTTACTTCTTATCTGTTATGTCCAAGCAGGGAAGTCGTAAAGATATGCAATCCTTTAATTGTACAAAAAAATCGGTCGTCGTAATTGTGTGAACCTTTGACATTATATGTATATGACAAGTTTAACATACAGTTGTTGAAATACGCGCTAGTAAAACTTGCTTACATAAATGAATTACCAAAATCGACAATGTTTAAGTCATGTAATTACTGCTAGTCTCGCCAGACAGGTTAAGCTCATGAACAATGATAACGATGCGATCGTCTCAGAACGTATTGTTGCCAAAGATGACGTGCTGGTCAGTCATTCAACTCGAACAGTGTGACAATGGGCCTGGTCTTCGCTTTTGCCTCAGCAGGAGATCTGCCAGTATCTGTGCTTTAGGTGGCCCAGTTCTGTAAAGCCACTAAGACACGCAAACCCTGATAGCGCCAGATATCAGCATTTCGATAGTAAACTGAGTTCTGTGCCGTAGTTTTCAAGGAAACGACTTGGAAATTGAAAGTAATGAAATGGGAAAAAAAATTCCGAGTTTGTAATAAAACACTTTTAATGTATAGAAACTGATAACATCTACTTCAGAATTTGAAGAATATCTATGCAGTCAGTAAGGAAAGAGTTGAATAACTCGCCTCAGCTGAGTTCTTAGTGGTTGAAGTGATTCTTATAGAATGACACGAGTCTGGCAATTAGAATCTTTTCACTTCCAGACTTCTTCAATCTAGTGTTCCAGCTAATTAAGCAGAGTGGTCGAAATACGAATTGTGTGGAATAAATTATTCTGAATTGGAAAAATCTCATTTTTTATTCATGTATTGCACTTCCCCATATGAACATTCTCTTGACATTTTATGGCGATTAAATTGAGGAAAATGAGTTTAGGTCCTGCAGAACGTATGAAGGAAATGAGAAATACACATACAATTTAGTGGGGAAACTTTTAAAGAGCAATTGTTTCGGAGATCTAGGTATAGATTGAATGATAGTATTTATTTATTGTTCATTTAACGACGCTGTCTGTAGCTTAGAGTATATAGCGTCGAATAATAATGATTAATTAATATTTAATTGGAAAATATTTTCGTTGTTGTTGATGGCTAACTGTATAACCATCTCCATGGAGCAGAGTATTTAATTAGGAGTTAATATTAAGTTCAGTTAAGAAATCTCCCGCCTTTTACAGTGTTACTACATTAGAGAAGCCGAAGACAATATATGTTATTCATGTGTAAAGTTGTCCGAGGTTTTCGTACCGACATTTTCTCCACACCGGTTATAATGGTAATTCGGTGATGGTTCAGTCTTCCGGAATTCTGTAGTAGCGTTTTCCCTTCGTCAGATACAGTCACTCCGTGACTTACTTTATACGGCTCCACACATTCTTAACCTGGCAGCAGATGGAGTTAGCTTAAAGCCCCCCACCAGGAAATAACCCGGCTTCCATTAGATTTCAGACCGGGCGATCCCCAGAGCCGACCTGGACGTTGTAGCGAAGAGAAATGCTGTCCTGCCGGTAGTCGAAACACGGTCATTCAGCTCACAGAACAGTTTACAGATACCTTGTTGTGACGAAATCTCTGTTCCTTTATGTAGAATGGATGTATGTTTATTGTCAACCATGTCTTGTTTATTTTTAAGATTTGACTTAAGATAATCGATATTCGCAAGCATTTCATGTGGTTGTGAGATTTGTATTACTAACATATACTGTATTCTACTGGAGAAATTTAATTCTGTAGCGTATGAAGAGGTCTGCTGTCTTGAACAAACTTCCGTAGCATTAGTCCTCTTTATTTATCATAAATAAATATTTAGGGCCTCAGGTCAGCTTTAAATTCTTCTTGTGTTGTTTATCTAACCGCTGGTCTCAAACATCCTCGTTAAAGAAACAGTACTCACGTATCTGAAATGTTGGTTTACATAATTTTAAAGGAGATGTGACATAACAGAAACTGGCAACCATTCGCCGACAAATATGGCAGTGTTTATGTAACACGGAAGTGCATATTTGTTCGGGACGGGTAGCATTTTTAGTGGCCAATTTAGGCTGTAATTCTGAGGATGTCTCACAAACCACGATAAAATATTCTGCAGAATATTTACGCAGTACCACTAAAATTTATAGATAAACATCCACTATCTGAGATTACAGATTCTGACGGCAGCGAGTATGAAGATGACTGTCTTCTGGGTTGTTGCGCCGTGTAGTCTGGTACATGTTAACGGACGTTTCAGAAGCGATTGCTGCCTTCATCTTCATGAGTTACTCATCGCCTTGAAGGAAGTCAGCAGTCATCTCTGACACCTCGATAGACTAATACCAGACTACACTGCGCAACAACTTAGATGACAGCCATCTTTAACCTCGTTCTGTACTCTCGTAAGTTTATTCACACAAGATAATACCGGATGTAGCCACTGAGTCTTTAGCGTTCGTCCTTCATACCGGAAACATCCCATGCCTTACGGTAGTGCAGTGCCCGGCTGGCTTGCATGTGGCTTCTCTTTCTTTTTCTCAGTCCCTCCATTTAAATTCGTGGCTTACCATGCAGCATCCTTCATAATACTTTTCTACTAATAATCACAGTCATTCTCACATTTTGTACCCTATATAGTCGTGAGAACGTTGTTAAACAGACAACGGAACGATATTTGTGACGAACCCAGGCTATATGATTTCCGCCCTCGGTGTTGGTTTGTCTCTTCGTCGGTAGACCCAAACCCCCTGTATGCCTTACCCTTTTTCGTGTCATATGGATGCCAAGACTTGTTGCGATGATGTTAAAGCAGCCGGAACGTAAATTAACGAATCCGTATTTCATAGTATGCTGAACACGTGACTTGTATGCTTTATATACTTGCAGTACTGACGACATTTGTCAACAAGCTCGCATCTGAGTTTGAAATATTGAATATTATGAACTGAAAGACAAAAGACGACGGGTTACACTTCTCTAAGCTATAAAACCCACTTGAGGTGTTGAATGTCGCACAGCGTCAGTACTTGATTCCAGATCTCATACTCGTGAACTGTAATGAAGATGTTTCATTTGATGTTCTGACGTCACAGCAAACAACGCTTTCTTCCACTCATATGGTTTATAGCGTTATCAGTGGAATGCAGTTAAACATGGCCGTTCAGATGCCTGTTACTTACTTTCTTTTTAGTTATATGTAAAAGGCAGGTGTGCAACCCGAAAGCTAATGCTCCCGATTTTCGCTTGGCTGCATTTAAACACGGACTCGTT